GGGAAAGAGGGAGAGAGGAGGGGAAGGGAAGAGGGAGGTGGAGTGGGAGGGAAAAGGGGAGGAGAGGAATGGGCATGGCGGAGGGGGCGTGTATGTGACGCTCTGCCACTTGCTGACGCACAAGGCAAGTAGTCCCTGGAGGTGCCCCAGGGGCTGAAGAGCTCAGAGTGCGGGGGATGGGGACTCTTGGGCTTTGGCTCCCTCCTACATTTCTGTCTCCGTGGAGTTTGCCCCCAAGTCCGGCGTTTTTTTGCTGCAGTCAAGGAAAGCGCATTTAAACCCTCAAACTACCGTTGCTCTCTGCCCTTGCCAAAAAGAGCGGTCAAGGGGAAAAAAATGCAAACTGTTCGTAGCTGGAAACTTTCTCATCTCGCCACCCCACGTGGGTTTGGCGGCTGCTGTTGCGCTGGAACCGTCTAGAATGAGAATAAAGGTCGGGGTGGGGAGAGAATTAGGGAATGGACTATTACAGGTGAAACAGTGAAGAAGACGATGCGCAAGCTCCCAGGACTCCCAGGCCTGGCCACCTGTCAGTCCAATCTACCAGTGACCTCACCTGGGCACAGGCCTCCCTACCCCTAACTCCGCGTCCCACAGTCACAAAGTGGCCGTGAGCCCGCATGGCCAGAGCCCGGGCAGAAGGCTAGAGCGCGCGGGCCTGGCGCTCCCTGTCCCGGCGAGCCTCGGTCCACAGCCAGGGGGACCATCGGGTGAACCCGACGCCCTTGGCACGGGCAGGCGGCACCTCCTCCCAACCCCCGTCGGAGGAAGCTGTTAGAAGAAATGTGACTTTCTGGGGTCCCCTGTGGAGGTCGCCAGCCCAGGAGAGCGAACGGGGGCGTCCGCCGAGGGGCTTGGCCCTATCGCAAGGTACTAGGGAGCTAGAGGCAGCAAGTGGAAGGTTAACGTGGGGCTCGGCTCCTCTGTCCGGCCTCTCCCTTGCCTCCCCTTCCTCGGGCTCAGCGTGCCCGAGCCCAAGAGGCGCTCCAAATACTCAGGCCAACACACGTTGATAAAGGTCCAAGACGTTTCCAGAGCTCGCATCGTCCCCAAAGCTTCCCCACCCGCGAAGAGTCCGTAATTGGGGTTGGTGTGAGCGCCACGGGGATGGCCGGACGCCCAGAGCTGGAGGGACTCGTCGAGGTGGCCTGGGGGGACGGTTCGGTGCAGGTATAGGACCGAAGACACAGCGGGGAAGTCCCTTTCCCCCGATGTGCCTTCACCGACCCACCCAAAGTGAGCAACCAGCTCCCACCCCAGGCCTCTGCCCTCCTGGAGCTCGCTGTCCACCGAGGGTAACACTTTACACGACGAGCACAAATTCTGAATGGTTCGGTGCATCAAGAAAATAACTAAAGGGCGGCTTCGCGATGGGGAAGACAGGCGGCCTTGCCGACGTTTGAACTGGGATCTGAGTGATGTGAAGGGGCCAACCAGGGGAGGGTGGGAGTGAGGAGGAGGTCGTCGAGTGCCCACCCGGTCCACGCGGAGCCGACAGCCGCGCGAAACGAGGGGTTAAGCCGCCCTCTGGCTCGGAAGTAGTCCCGGCCCGGCTCCGGCCCCGCCCCTGCAGGGCGGAGGGACGCATCACGCAGGGGTGGGGAAGCCGGATCCGTGCGCAGGGTTGCTAAGGGTGAAACTTTTCATTGACTTTGCTCACTTTGGGCCGGGGCGCGGGAAGGTGCGGGTTGTACCCGGAGAGAAGCTAGTGGCTCGGGCGACGCGGGGCTAGAGGGGCAGGACCGCCCGCGGGCTACAGCCCAGACCGTCCTCCGCCCCGCGACACGAG